CTAGACCAAGAGAGGACTTGAAAGAAGTGCAGTGGTGTGTGAAGTGCTGCATTCATCACCCTGCTTCTTTGCTCGTGTGTGCTGTGGTTGGAGTCAATGCTTGGTCCTTGGTCACCTCTTGATTGCTGCTGTTGTCGTAAGGCACCGTCATCTGGCCGATCACTGCATACAGCTTGGACATGCGCTGTCAGGTCATGCTTAAGTGAGCTGGTTATCTCCAACATTCGGTTGGCCATAGGGGCAGTACTGTGTGTGACATTTGACAGAGAAAGACAATCCTAAAGGGATGATGGATTAGTTGGAAGTGCATCCGTTAAAAAAAAATATTTACTTTATGCATTACGTCAATGTTTGGCAACTATGGGTTCCATTGCGACAATGTTCTCAAGGCTGGTTCGAGGAGTGTAAGCTCAGCAAGTATCGCAATATCAAATTACACGAACCATCGATTTCAAAGCATAGCTTATAGGACAAAACAGACTGGGAATTAGTGAGGTCACACGTGGTGGGGCAGAGTCGGGTGACACGCGCCAGGTGGGGTGAGGCAGGTGGGGTGGGGCGGGTGGAGTGGAGATTAGGACAGGGAGGAGGATGTAGGTCATAAGACATGTTAGGTTATAACAGTTAGTATAGACGCAGCTGCCATCACTAAAACACAATGGGTACATGTAGTACTGACCTACAATTAAAATGCACAGGGGACACTGACAAATTATATCAAGCACTGAACATATTCTGGGGAGAGTGTTATGCGAGTAACAATTCGCACATACCACGATGAAAAGCATTTACTTGCACTGTAAAGAAGACACACACTAGGAAACTTTTCACACTGTACTACATGGGCTTCCTTACTGCACACTGTTTAGCAATACTCAAACTGAATTAAATGAAGGGAGAGACATGCCAGGTGTAATGGCTAAGCGAGGGAGGGTGTGGGTTGACGTTAAGTACACTACCACCAGCATAATGAGGGGGAATCTCGTATAGAAGATATAGGAAGAATTTATGGTTGTAGGATTGTCAAGTGAGGAAGTTTTGGTAGCGTGGCCAATTAGTTATTCAACTGTTAATATATATTCTTAGGGGGAATTTTTCTAAGCTCCAATTCCAAGTACAGCTATTTATTATTCAACTCAATAGCATGGACACATTAATAAATCATTATATTTACGTTACTATGCAATGACTCTCGAACAACAAACATGAAATGGATACACTTCCCACCATAAGTAACTCACCCTAATGGATCGCTCTGACAATGACTCACGTTTGACCTGAGGGAGGCCCAGCGGCTGGGGAAGCTGCAGGTGCTGCTGGACTATGTCTCCTATGGGAGACTGCTAGCTGGAGACTCGGTGCTGGGGAGAGAAGTCTCCCTCTGGGAAGGAGCTGTCAGCCCCTTCCCTGTTACAATAATAATCAGAATGCCCCTGGAAGGAGCTACAGGCTCCTTATATTGGAGGACACGAGCCAGAAGATGTCGTCACTAATCTGGGTGTGTCTGGCCAGGTGACAGTTGTACTGGCTGGAGGGTAGCTTCTTGAGTAACACAGTCATGTCGCTGGGTTAGCTAATGACACGGTGGTGAGAACTCTGGGTCAATGTGACCGTGACCTCTCTTGGGTCAAGTCTGGACGGCTGTGTTTGCCCAGGTGCGTGGTCATGTCGCCGGTCGGTAATGCTTCCCGATTATTACCACCCGGGTGTGTCTTGGTCAGGTGAGTTTCTTTAACATGGTCATAACGCCGGGTTAACTCAGGTACCTTGTGGCCGTGACCTTTCCTGGGTCAGGTCTTACTCTCACTGTAGGGTGTGTCAACTTATGTGGGTGACCTGGGCATCTACTTAATGTTATATGTGCTGTAAGCTAAGGTCTGATAAACAATCATTACACCTCCCGCCAAGACCAAAGCTTCCATACCAGAGAACCGATGGCACATATAGACAGTAATAATCATGTGCAGTATCTAATATAGCCCCCGAGGCAATAATGCAATCTCACATTTTACAAAGAATAACCTCATAGATCTGGTATGCATGTTTTTCTACTGGCTTGGTTTGATCTGACAAAACTTACTATACCTCCCGCCAAGATCAAAGCTTCTATGCCAGGAGAATAAACACATACACAGTAAGTGATCATAGTATGAGCTTAACTAGAATAGTTGCTGAGCTAAAGATCCTACATATCTAGTATAGTATCCGAGAAAAACTTGCAATTTCACATTCTACAAACAATAACAGGTGTTACATGGCCTTGCCAGCCCATGTAAAAATAATGATTAGCCCAATCAGTAATATGGCTACAACATTGCATTAGGTAGTACAAAACATTTATAAATGAACTCATAGAAAACGTGACTAATCTTAAATAAAAAACAAAAAAACATTCTCTAGTAAATGTTATCAGATGTCACAGAATTAAATACTTCAAAATAAACGAAAAATGTGCCTACTTCCACATGTTAAGGTGTTTTTTCTCATAAAACAAATACAACAGCAATACAGTAGTGTGGCCCAGCATGGCTCATATTCTCCACCAGCTGGTATCAGGGATACTGGCAGCACAGCAGCAGTGGTAGGTTGATCCATTCGATGATCCACCTCTTCATCGTCGACTTTCTTCTGATGTCAGTACAGCACGTCGTGTGTCTTTTCTCTCCATATTACACACTTTTCTTCCTTCAGTACCGCACCTTGTAGGTCGTGTCTCCACACCTTCTGACTTCTTCTCACTTCCTCCTGGTTTATAATGCATCTTTTCTCTTAAATTAGTTTCTATCATATTTCTGATGAGTTTTTCTAGTTCCATCTGAGTTTCCTCTGTACAGCACCATTTTCTGACATATTCCAGATGTTTTTTCTTTTCCATCTGCATTTTCTCTACGTGTAGAACATCATATTCTGCCAATCAGGCCAGGGGTAGCCGGTCACACTGGACAACGTGTGGGGCAGGATACACGGACCTGGGTTCGCTCTCTGCACATGAGTGTTGGTGGTATCCTTGACCTCCTGCCCCACGCACTCGCAGCGGCAATCCCCTCCCTATTTCAGGTGGCCAGGGTTTGATGTGTGGTGCTGCCGCATTCCACACGTCTTAACTGCCTAAACTAGAAAAATATAAAATCTCCTTAATCCTAGACCAAGAGAGGACTTGAAAGAAGTGCAGTGGTGTGTGAAGTGCTGCATTCATCACCCTGCTTCTTTGCTCGTGTGTGCTGTGGTTGGAGTCAATGCTTGGTCCTTGGTCACCTCTTGATTGCTGCTGTTGTCGTAAGGCACCGTCATCTGGCCGATCACTGCATACAGCTTGGACATGCGCTGTCAGGTCATGCTTAAGTGAGCTGGTTATCTCCAACATTCGGTTGGCCATAGGGGCAGTACTGTGTGTGACATTTGACAGAGAAAGACAATCCTAAAGGGATGATGGATTAGTTGGAAGTGCATCCGTTAAAAAAAAATATTTACTTTATGCATTACGTCAATGTTTGGCAACTATGGGTTCCATTGCGACAATGTTCTCAAGGCTGGTTCGAGGAGTGTAAGCTCAGCAAGTATCGCAATATCAAATTACACGAACCATCGATTTCAAAGCATAGCTTATAGGACAAAACAGACTGGGAATTAGTGAGGTCACACGTGGTGGGGCAGAGTCGGGTGACACGCGCCAGGTGGGGTGAGGCAGGTGGGGTGGGGCGGGTGGAGTGGAGATTAGGACAGGGAGGAGGATGTAGGTCATAAGACATGTTAGGTTATAACAGTTAGTATAGACGCAGCTGCCATCACTAAAACATGAATGGGTACATGTAGTACTGACCTGCCACCAAAATGCACAGGGACACTGACAAATTATATCAAGCACTGAACATATTCTGGGGGAGAGTGTTACAAGCAAGTAACACCGCACATACCACGACATGAAAAGCATTTACTTGCACTGTAAAGAAGATACTAATACTAGGGAAACTTTTCAAGCACTGTACTACATGGGCTTCTCCTTACCACACACGGTTAAGCAATGCTCAAACTGAATTAAATGAAGGAGAAGATGAGCCAGGTGTAATGGCTAAGCGGTAGAAAAGTGTGTGGGTTGACGTGCAAGCACACTACCAATTAGCACAATTTAGTGGGAATCTCGTATAGAAGATATAGGAAGAATTTATGGTTGTAGGATTGTCAAGTGAGGAAGTTTTGGTAGCGTGGCCAATTAGTTATTCAACTGTTAATATATATTCTTAGGGGGAATTTTTCTAAGCTCCAATTCCAAGTACAGCTATTTATTATTCAACTCAATAGCATGGACACATTAATAAATCATTATATTTACGTTACTATGCAATGACTCTCGAACAACAAACATGAAATGGATACACTTCCCACCATAAGTAACTCACCCTAATGGATCGCTCTGACAATGACTCACGTTTGACCTGAGGGAGGCCCAGCGGCTGGGGAAGCTGCAGGTGCTGCTGGACTATGTCTCCTATGGGAGACTGCTAGCTGGAGACTCGGTGCTGGGGAGAGAAGTCTCCCTCTGGGAAGGAGCTGTCAGCCCCTTCCCTGTTACAATAATAATCAGAATGCCCCTGGAAGGAGCTACAGGCTCCTTATATTGGAGGACACGAGCCAGAAGATGTCGTCACTAATCTGGGTGTGTCTGGCCAGGTGACAGTTGTACTGGCTGGAGGGTAGCTTCTTGAGTAACACAGTCATGTCGCTGGGTTAGCTAATGACACGGTGGTGAGAACTCTGGGTCAATGTGACCGTGACCTCTCTTGGGTCAAGTCTGGACGGCTGTGTTTGCCCAAGTGCGTGGTCATGTCGCCGGTTGGTAATGCTTCCCGATTATTACCACCCGGGTGTGTCTTGGTCAGGTGAGTTTCTTTAACATGGTCATAACGCCGGGTTAACTCAGGTACCTTGTGGCCGTGACCTTTCCTGGGTCAGGTCTTACTCTCACTGTAGGGTGTGTCAACTTATGTGGGTGACCTGGGCATCTACTTACTGTTATATGTGCTGTTCTTCTCTGGGCTGTAAGCTATAGTCTGATAAACAATCATTACAGAAAAGATTGACAATTTATGTATTTCTTCAGGCAGATCCTCTCTCTAGCATTGATATTAGAAATGCTTTAACAGTGCACAGAACATTAAGCATAATGTAGTTTCTGTCACACAACTATATTCAACACCTATGTAGACATGTACAGTATTCAAAACATCACAATGAGGTAGAAACTATTATACACTTAATAACACAACAGGACAGTCTTTTACCTGAGTGAGCTTCTCTAACGCTTGTCTCGTTTTCTCTGTGGTGTCCTCTATTTCTTCTATGGATGGTCGCTGGAGCTCTGGGTCATCTTCTGAGGTGATGGACGATGGCAAAAGATCCGTCAGTTTGGAGTAAACAATCTACAAGGACAGGAGAATATTATACCATAGTCTTGAAATATTAAAACTATAAAACCAACATGAATGTGGAGAAAACAATACTTGGGAAACATATTCATACAATTTTAAATAAAAACACAAAAAATCTAAGTTATTAGTATTTTTGCCTTAAAATAACTTCACACATACTGTACATTGAGAAACAACTGTATTATAAGGTCTCCCTCTAACAACCTTTTATGTACTATCCACCCTTAATCCAAATCTTTTTCTTACCACTGTATATTCAATAATTTCCTCACTCCCTCTGTCATCCTCCTACTGCATCACCATGAAGGACCTAATGAGCTATGCTTCCTGACCTAATGGTTCATATTCTTCACTTTCATTATTTTCTCAAGTACATCCCCAAATCTTACCACTTCACTGTAGTATATTATTCCATCGTCACACACAACACTCCAAGCATATCTTACTTTCTATGTCCTTTTTCAACCTTTTATCATTCTATCACTCAAACCATTCTGTCAAATAAAATCTGTGAATGCATTTCAAGTCTCACCTTGTCTTTTGCATGGCCTTGTCTGGCCAACACATCATATTTAACTTTGCCTTTGTCATCTAACTGAACTGCCAGTGCATTAGAAGTTGATCCTCCTCCTCCTCCACCACTGTCTCCTCCACCTTTACCCATTCCTAAAGGATATTGAGCTATGTGGCATTCGGGGAATGCTCCGCCATCTCCAAAATCCTAGAAGAAAACATTCTTATACAGTAATACAGAAAAATAGGGATACAAAGACAAAAATACATTTTCATATACTGTACTGAAAACAGATACAGAACAGTAATGGCACAACTAGGGCTATATGCATCGGTTACTATCACCTTGTTGAAGAATCTCAGAAAATATTACTGACTGCAGCATAAAATATA